GATGTGAATTCTTCTTTTCTGCAAACAGATGGTTTTATATATTGATTTATTGATAAATGTTTGAACAGAGAGGTTTCGCTCGCCGAATAAATAAAGAAAAAATAATTTCAACTGTCCTCTTTTGCTTTGGAAGTGAAAACTTTGGTGAATATATTTATCTTGAACAAACAATGTACGTCATGTATATCTACGAATGAAAGAATCCATCTTTTAGTATAAATATGTATTTTGGAATCAATTAATATTTGTTGATCAAAAACATATTAGCCTACTAAAGGTGCAATACGTAGATGAGTTTTGAAATATAAGTAGGAATACTGATCAACTGAATAGGAAAATATTTAAAATATTGTTTTTATTTGATATCCTCGATCCCAACTTTTTTATTTAATATAACATCATCATAAAACATTATAACAAAGTGTTTACTATTTACCCCCATGTAGTCTTTGGTTACTTAATTTCCCACCTTGAATAATTTTGTGACTGTATTTTTCATTTACAAAAGAGAAAGTACCTTTTATGTGCGCTGGTATATGAGTCTGTTCCAACTCTGAGACTCTATTTTTTAGGAGATCAAAGTCATCCATGATACTCTTCCTAGCTTTCTTATCAAAATTTCTCGTCTCCAAAGAAGAGGTTTCTTTTTTCAATTTTCCATTACTCAAACGAGAAATTGCCTAAAAAATTTTCAAAGAAAATAATCAATTTTCAAGTGATCACCAGATAATATAGAAGTATTTTATCAAATTCATAATACATGTACATGAAATACGGTAGATAAGTCTATATTTCCACTAAATAGTATTGAATTTGTATGACATTTACTTGACTGAGAAAATCATTTATTCAATGGATTTTATACGACACGTGTCTTGTAGGAAAACTGCAGAAGGTTATCTTCATTAGGTCTAAGATAAATTAAATGTTCACCTCTGATAAATCAAACCATTTTCTTTGGAAAGTCAGTTGATCCATTGAAGTCTTCCCATGACAGATGGAGTTTCTGTGTATCCTAACACGCTCTATATCATCAGTAAGAGAGGTGTTGTGAGGTCGAGGATCTTTGCCCCAACCATTAGAGGGTGCCTTTACACTCACTGTATTACGGAAAAGAGTGTAGAGCAAAGTTGTATCAAAGTTTGTCGTCGATACCGGACAGGCTGAAATGAAATATAATGCTCTGTTGAGTAAACATTCAAAAAATAAAAATGTTTAAAACTTTATATCTTATTACGGAGTATATTTGCATAAAATATGTCCTCAGAAAAAGAAGCAAATTATGACATTCTTAAATAATCAGATTGGAAATTTCAATGAACTTTAATATCACTTACTTGGAAAAAGGACTTTCATCTGCTGAGAAGTACATCTCTCCTTCAGTTTGCGTGTATGAGTCTGTAGATGAGAAGCCAGGAGGGGTGGTGGAACTTTATTGTCAAATGCCATCCTCAGAGCTTCGGTGCCCAGTTGTGCCAACAATAAAAACCTTAAGAACCTATTTCATCCTCCGTAATGGCGTCATCATTGTCATCTGTTCCAAAAGATGAAAAGATGTGAAGATAAGCAACGACAATCATACAAACAATACAAACTGTAAGCAGAACGAACAAAGACCTCTAAGGCCAGCCAGAGGTAGGATAAGGTGTTATGGATAAGTGAGCACCTCCTGTCGACAGGTCACACCAGCCGTGTGCTCTTTGTCATGATCAAATAAAACGAAAAAATTCCTTGACAACTCACTGCGAAAAAATGGCTTAATAATTCGTATGAAAGATGCCGATCAACTTTTGACTTGACGATAAACTGTTGTTACAAATAATCTTACTGTATCGACTATATACAGTGATGTATCGACCATACAAATTTGTGCTAGGTCCTTATTATCTCTCCTTGAAAGTGGGCTTTGGAGGTTCGATCAAAAATTTTGAGTAAACTTGAATCATCTTTAATCGAGAATGTTTTGTGGCGTGTTTGGTTGACAATATTATAGACTGTATGATAAACGGATTAGTTGTTTTCTTACTTACATGTAAGGGTTAAATGTGAAGCACATGCAGACGAAGACTTTGTTGCACAACTTGAACAAGTCGATGTTGAGGAGGAGGATGAGGTAGTGATACAAGGTGTGGCTGATGGACTGACAGAGGACTGGTTGGGTAATTTAATTGACTGACTCGTGCCTTGGCTATTACCTGCTGAAATTGGTTGGATATTTACCAGCATCGATTGGTTGGTACTTCTTGTAGCAATTTGACTATTACTAGTGGCAGGAAATATTGAATTAGTATTACTCAAACTGTTGGAAGAAACTGTTTGTGAGATGTTTTGAGTAGCCACGGTTTGCATCAACCCATGATTATTTGAATTCCTTGTACTTGACAAATTATTTTGAGATGAAGGGAAGGATGTCTGTGTCGAAGCTGCCGTCTGATGAATTTGTGGTATTTGTGTTCTTGGTTTCACAGATTTTCTCATCGGGTACGGCGCAGTTTTTTGATAAATAGTTTTCCCTGTATGAGCAAATTAATACATAAATATATTAAATAAATTAATAAAGTCATATACATGTATACAAGTATCATTTTTTAAAAATCTCTCTTTTTTATCAAGTTCATCAACTTAACAGAAAAGTACTAGACTGAGCATGCATGCAGTTAAAATTGATTTTGCTTACAGTCGATGTATAAGAAAGCTAGACTGAATGTGTATATTTTTTTCAAACATTGAGCAGTAATTTATTTTCGGGCGAAATACATATATTCAAAAAGGTTTGAAGGGCATTATTTCAAGGCAAACAACAAATTCATTGACAAAACTGCTTAAAAGGAAAACAATTTCCTACCAACGTATTCATATTAAAAAGAAAAAAAGAAATCCATTGTGAGAGGCATAAGCATATCTAAAAGTTAAATTACTCTGAAAGAATATCTGCAGAAATACCTCAATTAAATATGTGACCCATCTCTACATTCACAATTTAAATGTGTTAAACTGAAATTGCTTAAATTTAAATTTGATCAAACTCGTGTACTTTCACATTAAATTGCTTTGTAAGGGGATCATGCATGGAAACTGGCCTGACTTTTAATGAAATAAATCTATGTATCAGTTTTGCAGATAAACAGACAGAGGCACAAAAACGATTAAGATTTTAAGGCCTTGGACATTTTAAGATCAATGAAAAATTATTACCAAGTTTGCAGTGTTTCTTGCTGGGTATCAAATTATGCTGTTCAAAGATTGCTTTTCTTTTTCGTTGATATATTGACCTTTGAACAGACGCCAAAGTCCCTAAAATATTATCATTATTATTATTCATATGATCATTGTTCTGAAATATTAATATTTACAAACGTTTCCGTTTATATAATAAAAATATATGTATATAACATCATAAGTGGTAAACGTGATTAACAAATTCCAATCTTATCATTGAGAATAGAAAAAAAACTCTGTGGGTTTGAAAATATATTACTCAAATATTTGTTAAATGATTGAATCTGAATTAAAGCCATTTCGGCTTTATAAGATTTTATCACATGGGTCAACCCATGTTTACTAGCATATCCGATAAAAATTTAGAAATGATCCATTAATTATTTCATAAATGCATATTTACATACCTTTTCTTTTGTAAAGTTCTTTAATAATTTTGTGTCTGTAACCATATTCCTGTACTCCAGCCTCCTTCAAATTTTCTGAAGTCATTTCCTTTAAAATATCCATGGTTATTTTCTGTCTTGAGAACAGTTCTGTGAGGCAGTCAAGGCCAATACTCATCAGAAACTGGGTCACAGCCTCGTCTTCATCTGCCTTGCCCTCCGGCATTTCCGGTCCAGAAGTGCCAGCCATGTAAATACCTAATAATACATGAATGTACCAACATAATCAAAGAGTCAATTTAAAAATCAATTCTGTTTAGGAAATCAATGTCTTGAAAGCAATAAAATAGAATTTTTTCTATCTTACAACATAGGACAAAATATACTAACTTTTTCTGGTATTGTTTGCATCAGTGGACTTCATTTTGAGATCGATAAAATTATGAATAAATATTAAGTTAAATCCTTATTATGAATGAAATTCAATGTGTCAATTGGTTTTATGCATTGTTTGTTGAACAGTTACATAATGAGAAGTATTCTCATTCAATTAAGTTGTCAACAGGATCAGGAAGATTTGTTCTTTCCTCTTCAACAAGCAAGTTTTGATATAATTACAGCACCTTCTCTCTAGTTTTTTAGCCGGGCTTATTGCTCAAAGAGCAATTGCCGGCTTATGTGATCCTGTTCAAAGCAGGATGTTGACCCCATAGTCGCCCTTTCAAAGTTACGTGAAAAAATATAGTTCGTGCTCTCAACCGCTTTTGAGATAATACAAACGCTAAATCAACAAAAATAAAACGAAGTTTTATCTAGTATATAAAATAAACAATATAGTAATGACTTTGAAAACTTCTCAGTAAAAAAACATTAGTGTAAGGATTTTTGATAATCAGTGTTACCGTAGTTCTCTACACATACGAGGTAAAGCAGGAGAGGGAACCAGACTGGCCTGTTTGTTTACATTCAGCTGCGGTACCAGATTAATTCTGATTCTGACAAAATCGGACCGTGGTATTAGGATTGAAAAATACACTGTCAGTGTCTTATCATTTATATTGATAGTTTTAAAATAATTTTTTCATAAGAATATTAACGTGATTCATGTAAGAAATCCATTCTACTCTGTAAATGAGCCCTTCTCTCTGTACTTCTGAGTACTTTGATTTAAATTACTTTATCAATTCGTTCTATGCTCGAGATCGAGACAATAATACTGATTTTTTTTTTTTGAATGAAAATTGTAAAATAGTTTTGAGGAAAAAAATACACAATGAAACAAAACCAGCTATTCGATGTGAAAGAGTCAATATGAAATTTTCAGATCAAGTAGACATAAAAACAAAGGGGAATTCCCTACTCTGAATATGGAATTCCCCTTTGCTGTTTTTAGCATAACATACATGTACGCTAGTTATTTTTATCACCGAGTCATATCTACTACCTTGTTAAATGTAGATTTCATTTATATAAATGAAATGTAAACTAAAAGATACTTTGATTTCGACGAGATTTAAATTACACGGAGTGTGTAAAAAAATAGGATCCTTATATATTTTTTTGAAATGCTCCAGATTAACATTTGGATCCTTATAACTTCCTTATAATAACTTAAGTTTTTTAAAAGAAAGGAAACATAATAAGCATAATATTCATAATATTGATAAAAAGAAAATCATTATGAATAAACTAGACATAGTCCTATTTCTGTGAAAACATATTAAATACAGAGAAAGAAATACTTACCTGCTCAAATCTTGAGTTACATGGCAGCCCTTCAACTAGTCTCGTTCAACCAGAAGCTCGGCTGTCTCCGTAAATCTCCGACTAGCACAGAGAGATTCAATCGATAGCGTGCGACGAAAAAGGGCGAGGCGATCCGATTGGGAGACAGCCGAGCGTCTCATCGAGGTCCGGAGACAGCCGAGCCTCTGGTTGAACTTGACCTTCTCGGGCCTTTCCAACTAGCGGAATTTAACGTTCTTCCGACCTCTGACGGAAAGACCCGAGATGATGCGTTTGCAAGACTACTACACGTATTTAACTTTAGCGACAAAAGAAGCTACCAATTAGATGTCATGTTACAACAAAAGAAGGTACATCTTACCTGGTGACTTTCGTTTTGAATAAAGAATTTTTATAAAAGATTCAAAAAATAAAATCTTTGATAACAAGTACTTGCAATCTTCGTTCCTAAAATATCATAATCAAACTCAATATCAAAGCAAGAAAAAACAAACGGACCAGGGGCCATGTATAACTGTTATTCGAGGAAGGGTTGGTATGATTTGATTAAACTTTTATTTACACTATCTGAGGATGCTTCCATATAAATATGACCATTGATGCATGTGTGTAATTGTTCGCAAGATAAATGTTTTTAAAGATTTTCCCATGTATTCCTGTGTTGAACTTCTGATCGCCCGTCGTAGGCTCACCCTACACCAGGGGATTTAAAAAAAATCTACATTCCTCGATTACAATGAGCCGATATAAATTTCATATTTTTAGCAAAATAGTATGGTGGCATATTTCTGCCCCCTACATGCAAGATAAATTTATCATTTATTTGCTTTTAAAATGTCAGATACAGGCGTTCGTTAGTACATTTACCCATATTTAAATTATATTTTCTTATATGATTGGTAACTTGCATGTCAACGTAATTAACTTGCATGTTGGCATAAATATGTTGCATGTTAACATAACTATGTTGCATATTAATATAATTTATCTTGCATGTAGGGGGGCAGATATATGCCACCAGACAATTGTTCTTGAGAGGAAAATTTTTTAATGATGCCATCAACTTTCCACGACCCTTAGAAGAAGGTTTTAATACCTCTTCATTTGAACAAACATGAATCCACTTTGCCCTAGGATATTTTCCAAGTTTGGTTGAAATCTTGAGAAGAACTGAAAGTTGGTAAAGTTTTATTAGGCCTACGACAATGACGACAACGAAATACAGAAAAACTCACTTGAGCGGTTACATAGTTGGTTCAATGTGTAATCAAATACTTTTTCAGCAGTGGTGGGGCGCTATACATCTTGATAAAAATAGATAAAAGGATAGTGGTGAATGGTGAAAAATCATCTCAATTAAAATTCTTTTTCTGATAATAAATAAATTAATAATTGAAATTACGATTCACCAGGACATCTTTTATGCAAGAATTTTTCACGAGGTACAAGACGTAAAAGATTGGCGATAAATGTTCTCAGTTCCTTTAGTATTTTAATTAGAATATGTGTTACCTATAGGTTCGCTCTTACAGGCCCCTCGGAGGATTGATTTTCGTATGTCTTACAAAGCATTTGATTTATTGCTTAACAGAATTAACCAGAATTGCGCCTGTGATGACGATTACATTATTTGCTCTTACAGTTATGAAGACTGATTTTGTAAAATCTCCTAAATCTCTCTTCAAATACCTTGAACGTAACGATAACACTGCAGGATATGTTCTAAGGATCTTGTTGTTGTTGTTTCTGCAGTGACACGTTAATGTTATTTTATTAAATAACTTAAATATTTTGTTATTTGTAAATACCTTTGTATAATGCAATGATCATTTCTTCCAAGAGAGATAATTCTAATCATAAGTGAGGGTTTTTTTTCATTTATTTTTTTTCAGCGTCAATGACATGTTTGGGGGAAAATCGAAGATGTTGTTTCTGCTAAGAATTGAGAATTAAAAATTGGGAGATTTTTTCTATAGAACATTAAAACGTCAGATCTTATATATAGTTTTCGGGACCCTATAGTTCTAGTTTAATTAGAATGATTGCTTGAAGTTGAACTTATGGTTGCATTTTTACAGTGTATTATTTTGAGTTATCCCACTCTCCCTATAGACCATCTGGGGCCCTGTTTCGCAAAGCTAATTTGTTCTTAAGTTATATTTTAGGAAAGAACTTTTTTCATAAGTTCTGTAGTTAGCCTATCTGTTTCACAAATCTCGTCTTTGTGGTCTAATTTCGCAAGTTAATTCTTAACTTTAGGACAGCTAGGTAAATTGATGTCCTGGGAAGAAACTGACTATGGCGACTGCATATATTTAATAATAAACGAATGGATACTGTTACGGAGAGAGGGGTTGTTTAGGGATAGAAACAATCTTATCATAAGAAACCTTTGTGAAACAGGCCCCAGGCTTTTTGATGCCTTAAATTACTTCAAATTATTCAATAAATCCAATTATCTCTAAAGTTATAATGTGTTAATATTATAAAATTATCATTTTCCCTCCTCTTCTTACTTATATATATTTTTCCATTTTTTTTATTTTTCATTGTTTGATTGATTTTTTTGTGTTGTTGCAAACTTACTGTCAACAAAATATATAAATATAATATATTCAATGTCCCTTGCTCTATCATAATTATCTGTCTTCAATATAAATGCAATGACAAGCGAGAGAAAAGTCATATTTAAGGACACACGAGACCTTCCTCAATTACAGATAAATTTCCATAAAACTTCATGCTTGAACTATTTGCATATAAACCTGTTCATGCCCAAAAAATTGGGGTATGTCACCAGACTATTTATAGAGTTAGAATAAATTGGATAATCCTTATTATAACATGCAAAAAAAGTATTGAATGCTATTTATAAAGTCATAGTAGATATTTTCCATTGAAACTGTATATCCAGATGGTAAAGTATGATAAAAAATGAAATTTATTTTTGAAAACCATGTTTCCAGGCTATTGAATAAATTTTCTAATGATAATGTTATTTTTTATCATTGTAACTGATTGAGTTATCTCCCTTTGATATGAAAAGAAATGAGAAACAAATGCAGTGGAATAGAAAGTGTATTTACATCATCATGATATCACAGACAATTGTTCAAATTAGAAACATGTAGTCATTACATGTATATTCATATAACAATAGTCATTACATGTATATCCATATAACAAGTGGTCAGTTACCTTTCATAAAATACTGATGTAATGACTTGATGATTTTACCATTGGATGTCACTCTGACCTTACCCATGTTTTTCTCTGACAAAATAGACTTTATACCATTCACAGGATCTCTGTGATGAGCAATGCAAAGATGGTCATAGTGAAGACCGGATGCTGCAATTTTGTTAGCTGTAAATTTAGACAAAATATTTTCATCTACAAGATGTTTCAATGAAGAAGCATTTCTACTCAATAAAATAGCATATTTGTCATTCTCAATAACAAAATCTACACTAAAGCTGTGTTTCAGCATCATGGCTCTAGAAATATCAAGGTGAAGCACAAGTCGCTGTAGAGCTTCAGAATCCGCTAAAGCGTCATGGGCGTCATATTGTGCGGTGCATAAATCTTTCATAAGATCCACTTGTTTGTAAGACTTTCTGTTGGGAACAGCTTCTCTAATAGAGGTAGTGTGTCTACAAACCCAATAATGAAGTCACTGGCTCTTAGTCCCACTTGATGCATTGCACGGATTATAACATTCGAGTCGAATTTTGCATTGTGAGCAACTAACACTATGTTGGAAAAATTTTTCAACCATGTAATAAATGTTTCTATACCATCCTTTGCATTCTTACATGGCACCTGTACTCCATTCTTGAACATAATATTCTCCTTCACAGCAATACCCGATACAGCAGTGGCAGAGGGTGAAATGGGCTGTGTAGATGGAAGGATATACTGCGAAAACGATTTCTCAGAGGCATATGCACCAATCTGGGTGACTTCACAATCTTTACCTATAAAATCATAAGGAAAAGGAATTATAAATCAATATGTCACAAACAGACAACATACACTTTTACATTACAAATTTATAATTCTGGAAGAAATGAAGCAGTGGCATAATTATTATGAAAATAATACGTCAGTTCCATGCATTACTTCTGCGTCAATATATGAACACTCACCAAGGCCTGTAGTTTCCAAATCAAAATAAACAAATGTGCACTGGTCATGGACAATAGGAGTAGACTGGGGTTTTCTCAGAGGTGGCGGTATCTCTGTAATGTTTTCCATGTCTCCTTCATTGTTGTTTAGATCAACACATGTTTTGTATGTTGTTCCCTCCCTAATCTCTGATGACTCTTGTGACTTCTGGGCAATCTATTTTCTTCATTGCCCTGATCTTCTTGTAAGGCAGGTGTACTTCTCTTTCCTTGTCTCGTTTCCTTTTCAAGTCTGTTTCTTTGCACTGGAACTAGTGACTGTCTTTCAGGAGAAAAGTAAAGTATCATTTACCTGTAATGAAAGGGTATGTTCAAAATGATAACTTCTTTACATGGAAATACATGTGTTTATTGTATTGTCTTGTAGTAATGAAATATACAAATTACTATACTACATGTATATACCTGTATTACATATTGATGTCCTAAATTTTTCTGTGCCACAGCAGCAGCAATACGAAAGTCATTACTCTTGGATCCAGCAGAAAGTGGACTTTGGTGTTTTACTTGCAACTGTATTGTTGAAACTCTCATTTGCCTGTGTACTTCCTAAGTTGATCAATTTTTCAGCCTGTGAAATGTAGAATCCAAAGAGAGATAATAGATCAGATTTCAAGTGTTGGTTAGATAGGTAACGGTGATATGGAAGTTGCTGTGGCTTGTAGGTTTCAGGAGAGAGAGAAATCAACACCAAGAGGCAGCACCGCATAGGCTGTGGTCTCCATAGACATGTGGTGTTATGGCCTCCAGAATTTCTTTTAGACTGCTCAAATCTTCTTGATTTTGACTGATGCAGTATTTGAAACACTTGCTGATATGATTTATGGTTTTGGAATTTAGTTCTTTGTAGTTCTTGCTCTTCTTTTAAGTCATATAATTTATTAGTAAATTGTTTCATTGTATGGTTTTATCACTCTGTTTCTTTAGGGCTGGGTTTACCTCCAAGCGTGCTCTTGCAACAGTTGTTGAATCATTGTCCATGATAACAGTGCTGACATTCACATCATTTTGGCCAAGTTCTTGCAACATCTGTATGCACATATCTGGTTCCATGGCTTTTGCACTTTTGGACCAGTTCTTTCGACAGTCATGGATGGATAGATCCTTTCCAGATTTTTCAGAGTTGTCGCATACTCTACAAAAGCTGTTGCGAGTTGCAAAATTGACAATTTTGCCCGTTTCATTTCCGATCATTGCAGCATGACCTGCAAAATTATAATGTATAAATTATAAAAAAAAAAATTCATGCAATAAACAGTAATATCACAACTAAATTACTGTATGAAGATAAAATGTACTGTCTTACATTTTACTTATTGCCAATGTGACATACACTAATCAGTCTATTGAATTTGGACTATGAAACAGTGGAAGATGTATTCAATTTTTATAAAAAAAGAATATCCCTTATTATTTCACTAACATCCACTAAAGAGATAAAAATGTACTTCATGCCAGAAATGCCAGAAAGTGTGATATATTATACCATTATGGACTTCAGTGTAGGTCGATATGTGGTTATAGGGAGTCATGGCAATTGATACTGACCAAAGACACAGAGAGTGATAGCGAAAGAGTAGGCGAGGTCGCTATCATTTTCTGTGTCTGAGGTCAATATCAATTGCCATGAGTCCTATAACCCTAGTAATGAATTTGACCGTTCACTGAAGTCCATAATAGTTATATTATATAATCACTCAAATTGAATGCACTGACACAGTTGTAACTGAACGGATTAGCTGTCATTATGTCACAATAGTTAAATTCACGCTTCTTATAATATTACGTCATGTACTACGTAACTTTAGTGCAACCAAATGGCATGTTGTGTGGTATTATTTTATTTTATTGGAATGTTTAGAAAATAAATTATATACCTGACAAACTGGAATAGGATCTACCTGATCCTCTTTTCTGCCACCCGCCATCAAATGATACAGACAGCTCATTAGGTGTACTGTAAAACAACATAGTTCATGTTAGTATATGTAACCTTGATTTTCATATTTATATTATAAGCATTGCAAATACTATAAAAAAAATGTTTGATAAAAATAACTGTCACAGTACACAGGTTAAAAAATGTTCAATATATTTCTGTTGCTACAAAAGTAATTTTGTACCTTGATGATTCCTTCTCGGTCGCAGCCATATCGTCACAACTCTTTTTGGCCACTTCTTCTAACGCCTTTCCTACTTCCCTCTCTGTTTTCTTCAAGGTTTTGTGGCACACAGATGGAATATTAAGTACACTTAATAGCATTGATACTTTCTTCTGGCCAATGCCTGCATGAAGCATACCTTATAATATAAACAATTTTATATACTGTTCTTTTTACAACATAATAACATTGAAATTTTTGTAATTTATGATTTATAATATATCTGGTGGTTCAACTAGTATACCATTCAAATATCAAATAAAAATAAAAATGTCCTCAGAATAAAACTGCACTACATTTTTGTTTGTAGTACATGTACATATAAAATTTAATTATCTATATACAATGCCTACCAAGAGCCAGTTTTGTGTTGACATCAAATGCTCTTGATGGATGGTCACTGTCTATACGCGAGTGTCTCTTTCCTGTTGGAACTGATACCACCATATCACAATTCACACACTTTATTTGTAACATTGATGCCAGTCCATATCTGATCTCACCACAAATATTTGTGAAGTTCAAAGGCTGTCTACAAAATTCACAACCTTCAATCAGTTTGTCGATGACATGCTGAATTTCAATAACCCTTTCCTTCGTTCCACTTTATCGTTACATCATCACCAGTGTCTTCACAACCTATCACCATTTCCTCTTCCTCGATGTTGGATGGCACTGACATACAATAGTCATGCTCAAAAGGTACATATTCTGGCAAATCGATGGATTGAGAAGTCTCGGACAGAACAAGACCTGCATCATCATGACCTTTAATAAATGAAATGCACAGTTATACAATAATATGCAGGATATGCATGAAGCCGTTTATACGTCCGTATGAAACATATATGAAAGAGAATCGAAAACAAGAAATCATAATCAAAATTTTCTGACACACATGTAGTCTCTTTTTTCGTAAAACACATTGAGGAAATAGTTTAAGTTATTATTATACCGAGCATTTCAAGATTTTTAATGTTGATATTTTGTTTTCAAATAATTTGTACTTTTACTATTGATTTTCGTATACTAAGGGGTCTTATTCATTGTAAATAGGCAAAACGTTTTATCAAATCACCAGAGCATACATATACAAATAATCAAAAATGAATTTACTCGAGACAAATAATCTCTTTTTTCAATTTGGTGATTAAAAAAACAAAAATGAAATACATAGGATTAGTCATGTAGAAAAATGTGTCTCGTCATGAAATAATCTCTACCATAAGAAATGTCCCTGATTTGTGGTTTTACATATTTAAGAAATTGTGGTATCTGCAAAATAGACACAGTTTCATCTGACTTTTAAAAACCAATGTTTATAAGGTTTACAATTTCTAACTAAGGCTAATGATTAGCAAAAAGTTGAACACCATTTGTTAATATCATATCTAAAACGAAATAAAATCCAAATGAACTGCAAAAATTGAACATCATTTGTTAATATAATATTTATAACAAATGAAATTCAGCATATAACTAGGAACTGTAGAATCGTATTTGAAATGAATTTAAAATCAATTTCTTTATTGAAATCATCTACTTTGAACTAACATATATTAGTATATTAACCTATGTAAACAAAACATGACATGGACCTTGTTAACACAACAAAGGTTTGGAGCTCTAAATCTGTCTTTCATCTCGACAATTAACGTTTAAATTTTTGATGAACATTGGATAGACCTTAGTTAATTGAATATTTGTATTTTATAAAAAGAAAAAAAAACAAATTTGAAAATTTTTCGCTGAAACTCTCTCAATGTCCATTTAATGTTCTTATATAAATAATTCAAACTCAGAAGTCCAATCAAACTATACAAATCCGGATCAGAGCAAACAAAGACCCCTTAAATATCAGAGGTGGGGGATCAGGTGCCATGGAAGATTAAACATCCCCTGTAGACCGGTCACATCCGACGTACCATGTGTGCTTCTTATCATGATAAAGCAAACAGCAAAATCCGTAAACAGAAAAATACGTAAGTAGTAAAATCCGCATCTAATAAATTGAGTTTAAGGAAAGAATAATATTAGCAAATGAAATGGTAAATTTTTGAAAAATATCTACACATGTGCGCAAATGTGCGGTATACAACTTCTGCCATGGTATTAAAAAATATTTCCAATCACTTTTATTTAGCGCAGTCCTATTCGAGTTTCTACCGGTGATTTTAAGAATTATCTATGTTACATGTACCTATATGGTAAAAAATGTTACAACCTTACAAGATTTTTCCCGCAATTAATTCATTCTTGCAAAGAAAACGAATATTGGACTGTCGCAAAAACTGGCTTATTAAAAATATATAACTAAGTCTTAGATATATACATTATATAATAAAATACGATTTTGCATTAAAGTAAAAAATTTAAGTATAAAATTAACTGGAATTAATTTTCAGCATACATGTCATTTTCTCCTTCTATGATATCCATATATCACAAATAAATCACTGGGATTTTACCGATATATTTTACAAGAGGAGAAAAATACAAGTTGTTTTCAGTTTTGATTACATCAATAGTGCGAAAACCTACTCAGGTATTCACATATCTTATTGATATTAAGATATTCTACACATTATACTAAGGTCATCACAAAAGTAATGTCACAACTCTCGTCTAATCAATCTTAAATAACCAAAATTTATTGATATTTTTTTCTAAAAAAAAAAAAAAAACTTTACAATTTTGACGCTTTTAGAGAAATGACAGTCAAGATAATGAAACGAGCAATAGTGAGATTTTAAACGATATACAGATAAACTGGAGAAGAGTGCCCAAAAAATAACATGTAACATTCTTTTCATGGGACGATAGACAAAACTTGTGTACACCTGAATGATTTCTAAAAAAAAAAAGTATTTTATATAACCAAATGAAAATTGAAGGTAGAAATCCAAATTGATATCACCTATAACGACCTACAATTTATGAGAAATGTTAACATTTAATCAGTAAGGATTTTATAGCATATGTGACATTACTTTTGGATCAAACCCCTATTTCAAATCAAGTCTATGCAGACTTGCGCTTAATATTTTTTAATCATAATGTTGGTGTTAAAACGCAATTTTTGTTTTCAAAACTGTATTCAGTTATGGAATTTCCCTCTTATTTCTTGACATAACAGCTAATGAATAAAATGGAAATAACAGTCACTCTGATTATCAATAAGATGTATTTAAGAAGACACAGCTGTCACCTGACTAGGGTATAGAAAGTACTGGGGGTAGAATCTGGTGCCTAGGAGAAGTACAGGAACTGGTCGTGCGTTGCAGGGTGAAATATACATGTAGCACCTATTTACTGGCTATGATACATAGGTCGTCGCTTCCCAAGACAGCAACTTATTTCCGGAGGCGCAGCCGAGGGAAATAGTTTGCTGTCGAGGGGGACGATAAACTTGCTATTGTCCGAATAGTCAGTAAATAGGTGTTTTATTAACAGATGCTGACTTAACTTTTGTTAACCTTTGGGAGTCCAGGGTCATGATATATACCGATGCTGACTTAACTTTTGTTACGTCATAATATATAAAATCCGTATAAAACCGGAAGTTTTCCGAGATGAAAACGAGGGTAACCAACGCTGCCGGTGAATAGTTTGAGGACTATTCACCATGGGCAAATAGCACAAAAACTATTTCACGGCAGGGGCTGTTTGAAAAAAAAAATTGTATAGAACAAATTCACAGAGGAATAATAAATCCAGATATCCTGAACAGCATTGAATAATCAAAGGTCATTCAAGCAATACAAATTAGAAGCAGAGTCGAAAAAGTACATCTAAATTATCAGAGGTGGGATCAGGTGATTTGTTAAACTGAGCATCCCCTTGACCGGTCATTTGGTGCTCGCTTGTCATGATCAGAAATTTCATCGTACATATTCAATGAAGTTTACTTACATGAATACTATTTGTCCGTATCTTAAGCCAGGATCTTCAAAATAAAGTGAAATGATGCCTGGATGTATATATTTGAAGAGAATTATTTTAATTCATTATTTTCCGAATAATTTTCTAAAATAGCAAAGAATGTGTTCCTTTATCAGCAGATCGTTTAAATTTTGCCGTATAAAGCATAATCCATAAGAATCTATTTCAAATATTTTTCACTTCAAATCTCATTTTTGTGAAAATATGAATAAAAATTTAAAACTACGCAGTGAAAATTATTCATTTTACTCATTAAAACATGACTCAACTTGTTATTTTCATATTTGTTGTATTTGTTTGTATCATCTGTCTTTAATAAGAATATATCATTTCAACGACGTTTGAATATGGATGATACAAATTCTATAACAGTTATAGATTGTTTAACTTGAAAAAGTCTAAACTTTTAATGTAACAAATATATGTTCAGCAAATATCTTAATGGTGAAACTCTTTGCTATATAATTGAAGATATAAAAGTGTAAGTGTACAATTGTTATAAGATTACAAACATATAAAGACAAAGATGAAATGGAAAATCACTGCCTATAAGTCGTAATATTTTTTATCTGAAAAGTGTTATCGTGAAATTTTATGTAAATATGTGTTTTAACCATCAAAATGATAAAATTGATTCGTGACTGTTTTACAAATTTGAAGCATGAAAATTTAGTACATTTATTAAAATATATTTTCATATAAAACTTACCTATGAAATACATTAGTGTCATTGGCCTCCGAGGAACTGATATTGTCCTCATGAAGGTAAACGTTGTTTAACTTTTGTTGCCATATTCTTCAATTTGCTGAAATCTTTCATCATTTGAAATTTGGTCACTTTTTAAATATGATTATGGTGTACAATGCTGACATTTAAGGTCAGACGATACGTTCCTCAGAAATCCGTTTTTGTGCATCTTCGTAATAATGAAAGATACATTATTTAAAATCATGATTACCTTGTGATTTCTAAACTGGTTTCTGATGTGTCTTTAAAAATTAACAACGCTTAAACCTTTTATTTTTGGCAATTTCATTTTTTTCCCCAAAAGTATTATATGGGAAA